CCAGGTGAACCTCCTTGGAGTCCCCATGCACATTGTTGGTATCAAATAATACCATGCGTCTTCCATGTCCACATCGACGGGAAGGTCCCAGCTCGGCAGAGTCCAAGTCAGCTTGATGTAGCCAGTGTCGCCGCCCACGGACCTCCGAGGGGTAGTAATAGTGAGCACGCACCCGTACATCGGCCTCGTGTCAGTGTCAGCATTAGTGGCGTCTCCCCTGACGCACACTACAGAGATGTGGCGGCGGCCTGCATGGGCCTCACCGGTGGCCACGATCAAGAGGAAGACGCTGTCGTCCTCCTCCGAGACTAGCAGGCGGCGCTGATCCTCCAGCGACTCCGGCACAGTGAACGGGTAGCACGTCTCGTACTTGATGTTCTTCGCCAAGGGCCAGTAGTGATCGCCGCACGCCTGCGTCAGGTGATGCATGATGTCCGCCGGCGAGCCCCAAAACGGCACCGGGCACTCATAGAAGTAGACGAAGGGCTCCTTGGAGGCATCGACCAGGCCGTCCATGAAACGGGAGTGGCTGTAGGGGACGTTCCGCTAGTTGAATATATGAGCAAGTTACTACGAGATTTACTACAAAATAAATCATGACGGCTATAATAGAGATTAAACTAATCATGCGGACTAGCATAGTAGATGAACAGATCGAGTCTAGGACACAGACTAGAAACATGAATTCTACCACGATTTCGAACAGGAAGGACAGAAACACATACGGTGCAATGGGAGCAGCACCATTGGCATTGAGGTTGTCGCCCATGTCGTTGAGGAAGAGGTTGCCGAGGTCGGGGAAGAAGTTGTCGTCGGTGAAGTCGTGGCTGCTAGCAGTCGCAAGAGTGCGCTCCCCAAATGTCAACAACGCCCGCCGAATGGAGCGCAGGAGGGAGTGGCTGTAGGGGGCGTTGCGGCCGCCGAATGGAGCGCAGGAGTAGCCCACGAAGCACTAGATGGTGCTCCTCCCTAGTCTCTATTCTTATCTCTATCTCTACCACTCTTCTTTGTTTTTTATAATATACTAGTTGTAGTTGTCAAATCGAATAGTACTGCACCGTCCACTGCACGCCCGGCTGAACACGCCTCCTCGCCTCCATTAAACCCGCATGCAAACTGAGCAACCTACTCCGGCCCGCGGGAGGAAATTTGTCGGTTGCCGCGAGAGGGTTATTCTGCGAATTTTCAGCAACTTAGCATGCGACCGTTTGATCTTAGATCCAAGGGCTGCCAGCACCCCATATCATGGTCGCACCTACCACGACCGTCGTGTTGCACGCGCGGTCGCGCCCTTGGAGATTTAACATGGTGCGTTAGGCTATCTGATGTTGGCACGTCATACATAGTCATCACTTAGTCACTCATACTACAACAAGGTTGGCTATAAGGTTGGCTATAAGTGTATTTTTTTACTCCTCTCTATCTCTTTCTTCGTACTCCCTCCGTCCCATAATATAAGAACGTTTTTGACACTAGTGTAGTGCCAAAAATGTTCTTATATTATGGGACACAGGGAGTACTAGTACTTATTGCATTTGCCAAGGAGTGACCTCTTCCAATGAAATGGTGTTGCTAAGTTTGCTTCATTTAGTTAGCTATAGACTCAAAATTTTCTTTTCACTTAGGTACACGCGCTTAGAACCGTTTCTTCCTTGGGTCACCAAACTAGTCTCTCTCTTCTTGATTAACTTGCCACATCAGACTTTATGCCTATGTGGCAATCTTAAGCACCTGTAGGAGCAAGTAAGGTGCCCGTTCGTTGCACAGAAGAGTGAAATGCATTGATCGGGGTGTTGTTTATTTTGACAAAGGATGTGGGGGTCATCTCATGTGTAACAGGTATCGGTAGGTTTCTTCGGATATTATTTCATCTCTAGAGCTCAGAAACATCCGGGTGAAATAGATAAAAAGGTATCTTTTGCAAACAAAAGCGTTCAACTGTTCAACCTGCATCCAAAACTTGTGAAGAAATAACTCTTATTGTGCTTTGTAGGAAATGGTTCATCATAATCTTTCACCGGTACTGTAGTACAAATTCATACATGGAAGATTCTAGACTAAACCATAAATGGATACACTTTTATTCATGCGCGATACTCCAATAGAGCAAGATCATGCATGGAAGTCTCCACATGCTTAGACAGCGGATTACATTGAGTGAAGACTAATGATCAACATTTAACTTAGTAATGCATATGTCCAGGTGAACCTCCTTGGAGTCCCCATGCACATTGTTGGTGTCAAATAATACCATGCGTCTTCCATGTCCACATCGGCAGGAAGGTCCCAGCTCGGCAAAGTCCAAGTCAGCTTGACGTAGCCAGTGTCGCTGCCCAAGGACCTCCGAGGGGTAGTAATAGTGAGCACGCACCCGTACATCGGCCTCGTGTCAGTGTTAGCGTTAGCGGCGTCGCCCCTGACGCACACTACAGAGATGTGGCGGCGGCCTGCGTGGGCCTCGCTGGTGGCCACGATCAAGAGGAAGACGCTATCGTCCTCCTCCGAGACTAGCAGGCGGCGCTGATCCTCCAGCGACTCTGGCACGGTGAACGGGTAGCACGTCTCGTACTTGATGTTCTTCGCCAAGGGCCAGTAGTGATCGCCGCACGCCTACGTCAGGTGATGCATGATGTCCGCCGGCGAGCCCCAAAACGGCACCGGGCACTCATAGAAGTAGACGAAGGGCTCCTTGGAGGCATCGACCAGGCCATCAATGAAACGGGAGTGGCTGTAGGGGACGTTCCGCCAGTTGAATATATGAGCAAGTTACTACGAGATTTACTACAAAATAAATCATGACGGCTATAATAGAGATTAAACTAATCATGCAGACTAGCATAGTAGATGAACAGATCGAGTCTAGGACACAGACTAGAAACATGAATTCTACCACGATTTCGAACAGGAAGGACAGAAACACATACGATGCAACGGGAGCAGCACCATTGGCATTGAGGTTGTCGCCCATGTCGTTGAGGAAGAGGTTTCCGAGGTCGGGGAAGAAGTCGTCGTTGGTGAAGTCGTGGCTGCTAGCAGTCGCAAGAGTGCGCTCCCCAAATGTCAACAGCGCCCGCCGAATGGAGCGCGGGAGGGAGTGGCTGTAGGGGGCGTTGCGGCCGCCGAATGGAGCGCATGAGTAGCCCACGAAGCAGTAGATGGTGCTCCTCCCTAGTCTCTATTCTTATCTCTATCTCTACCACTCTTCTTTGTTTTTTATAATATACTAGTTGTAGTTGTCAAATCGAATAGTACTGCACCGTCCACTGCACGCCCGGCTGAACACGCCTCCTCGCCTCCATTAAACCCGCATGCAAACCGAGAAACCTACTCCGGCCCGCGGGAGGAAATTTGTCGGTTGCCGCGGGAGGGTTATTCTGTAAATTTTCAGCAACTTAGCATGCGACCGTTTGATCTCAGATCCAAGGGCTGCCAGCACCCCATATCATGGTCGCACCTACCACGACCGTCGCGTCGCACGCGCGGTCGCGCCCTTGGAGATTTAACATGGTGCGTTAGGCTATCTGATGTTGGCACGTCATACATAGTCATCACTTAGTCACTCATACTACAACAAGGTTAGCTATAAGGTTAGTCATCACTTAGGAGAAAATTTTACTACTCCCTCCGTTTACTCCTCGTCCCTACTACATACGTACTTTGGTTAGTACTCCCTCCATTTACTTATACAAGGCCACTATAAAAAAAATACATTTTGCATCTATACAAGGCCAAAAATAGTAATTGAGCCTTTCCAGTTTATGGCTCAATTTCAAAATCTCTCCAACCAAGGTAGACGGTGAGTGGTCGAATTAATTTTGTAGTTTGCACAGTACGCTCGTTTTTCTCAAGAAGTTATGTTTACCGAGGCATTAATTAGAAAGAATGCATGAATGACCACTAAATTTCCATGAACTTGTACACGCATTGGTTAGTTTCCTATTGACACTACTTGCGTCGGGTGATCTAACGCACCTCGAAATCCAACATGTAATGGTACTGCTACTAGTATAGTACAATTGAGACTTATCAAACGGAAAAATGAATGTTTTTAGATGAGCCCTATAAACCCTAGTGGGTACGTACTCCGTAAAAACAGATTTTTCCAAAACTAAGTCGCTCCCTTTCATGAATTCTGTAGTATACTCCTCCATCGACGCTCCCTTTCATGAATTCTGTACTTCCTGTCGCCGACATGTGGGACATATAGCAACCGGGTCGACGTGTCAAGCACCAAATAACAATGCAGAACAGCAGGGGGGACGCACCCCACTCGTACCGGCCCAGTATTAGTAATGAGCAATGAGACGTCAAATCACAATGCTACACCTTCCCAGACGGACGAAGCAACCATTATTTCACACTTCGATTCGACATCATCTCAAACCACGTACTAGTATTGCTTCTGCCTCAAGAGGGACACGCGCATCGCCTTGGTACATCATGACACGTGGGACCGCATGACAGGCCATGCTCCCCCGCCGATCGCTCGGTAAAATCACCTCATTTTTACTATACTTCCTCCAGATCGGTTTACTACATGGCATGCACGTCGTTCTAGGTTGAGAATTTAACTGGCTATATATATATATATATATCTGTGTGTGTGTGTGATGAACAGTATGCTAGCCTTTTAAAAATTGTATATTTTTGTACAGTAGTACTCCACTATCGATGGATTGCGACATGGAGCAAAAATTGAAATTTAGAAAAAAGGTGGTACATATAGAGAGCGCTCGTCGCCAAATTATGCATATAGTACTATTAAAAAAGCTAGTATGTGCTTAATTGGGGTGCTAAATTCTATTAAAGAAATACTAGTACTAGCATGTACATACTGAAGAGTTAAAGTAACGAGAAGAAACATAACATAGTTCTGCTGGGGGCTCAGCACAACACACCCCTCAAATTAAACTAAGCACACCTAAAATTAAACTATGCAACTAATCCGGTAGACACTGCATTAGAAGTTTAGAACCGCCATGAGCAACGACACTGCCACCTTACTCGGAGTCCTCGTCCACGTCCTCGACTTCGTACTTGTCCCTCTTCCTCTTGGTCGATACTTCTTTGCTTGGACCGCCAACTTGGTTGTTGCTCTTCATCCAACCCTTGTAGATATTGAAACAAAGGTAGACATCCATTGCAGCGTACTGGATGTGGTCTATATCTAGTACATTTCGCTGCCATGCATGATGATGAAACGTGTAATGAGGTTTCTCCAGTTTGCGGTACGAAGGATGAACCATGGCTCCTGCTAGGGTCAGCATTGAGGGCTGACAAGAGGGCACCAGCCGATTCTTCTGGAGGTCGAAGGGGTTGCCTAGAATGAGGCCTATCCGACGGAGGACTTCTTTGTCGTTCTTAAAGTCTACAGTAATGAATTTGACTGTTTTGTCCTCGAGGAAGTTCTTAAAATCCTGGCACTCAACGTCGGCATGGCATATGTGGTAGACCAAGCAAACGTTATGTACGCAAACCTGGATCACGGCGGGCTTCTTCCTCTCTTCGTCCTTTAGATCCTTCTCTCGTCCCTCGACTGTGGTGTACTCAACATCTAGCCCAGCGACCCACTCATTGTGTGAGTTTTCGAACATGCGTCTGAAGTGAGAAAGGCATCCTTTCACCGTCGCGGAAGTACGGGTGTAGATGACGTCGAACTCATCGCCGGTGATGGTTCTAACCTTGTACTCACCGTCGATCGGGGAGATTTGGGACGCCATGGATTTGGGAGGAGGGTTAGGATTAGTGGAACTGCCGTAATGTGAATGGACGGGACGACTAGGAGCAAACTGTCATAGTATTAAAGAACGTGTGGGGACGAGTAGGAGCGAACTGCCAGCGTGCGAACGGTAGGGTAGTGGCTTTCCATTCTCCCATGATACGGGCTTCCGAGAGCCCTTAGATCTGAGATTGAATGGTTGCATGGAGTGATTCTAGACCTATGGGTGAATATCCTATCCTGGAGGGTTATTCTGTAAATTTTCAGCAACTTAGCATGCGACCGTTTGATCTCACATCCAAGGGCTGCCAGCAGCCCATAGCATGGTCGCGCCTACCACGACCGTCGCGTCGCTCGCGTGGTCGCGCCCTTGGAGATTTAACACGGTGCGTTAGGCTATCTGATGTTGGCATGTCATACATAGTCATCACTTAGAGGGTGCTTGGATCCAAGGGACTTATCTTAATCTGACTAAAAATAGTCTCTTTAAGAGGCTAAAGTTTCAAGCCCCCTGAGTAAAGAGGGGCTAAAACTAGTCTTGAGACTAAAAATTTTTAGTCAGGGGTACCCCTACTAAAATGTGGATTAGTCCTCTCTCTCTCCTCATTTAACTCCTCTCCTTTAACACAGGCGAGTTCTGGATTGGAGGGTTTGAAGGATAATAAATGCTCATTAACTTGATTCTAGTCTCTTTAGTACTTGGATCCAAGCATGGGTCAGGCTAGCAAGTCTTCGTCCCACTACTTTTAGTCATGGGACTAAAACGTATCCAAGCACCCTCTTAGTCACTCATACTACAACAAGGTTGGCTATAAGGTTGGCTATAAGTGTATTTTTTTACTCCTCTCTATCTCTTTCTTCGTACTCCCTCCGTCCCATAATATAAGAACATTTTTGACACTAGCTAGTGTAGTGTCAAAAACGTTCTTATATAATGGGACACAGGGAGTACTAGTATTTATTGCATTTGCCAAGGAGTGACCTCTTCCAATGAAATGGTGTTGCTAAGTTTGCTTCATTTAATTAGCTATGGACTAAAAATTGTCTTTTCACCTAGGTACACGCGCTTAGCACCGTTTCTTCCTTGGGTCACCAAACTAGTCTCTCTCTTCTTGATTAACTTGCCACATCAGACTTTATGCCTATGTGGCAAGCTTAAGCACATGTAGGAGCAAGTAAGTACAATAGTGCACTTTACATGGCATTTTTGCATCTGTGGAGGAAAGAGAGGCAAGGAAAAAGTGGAGAATTGGGCTCTCATGCAAGAGCCAGCCTCTACTACTACATGGTGGAGCATTGGGAGAAGCACCTGTATGGAGGTGGTCAGGGATCGGGAGACTCACGCCGGTCGTAGCGCCGCAGTTAAAATGATAATGGCAAGTCAAATCACGGGGCCCCACCTGTCCAGCAATAACTCGCTGTCAAATCACACAGCCCTACGTTTGCAGCAGCCTACTCCCTTGTCTTCTCGCATCTGTGTCGAACCGACTAGGCGGAACTGTCCCGCCGCCTACCGGGCAGGAAAAGCCCCGCCCTCGACTTTTAAATAGTATACAGTATACTCATTTTGTATCCATGGATTGCGCCCGCGCCATGGAGCAAAGCATCTAGAAAACGGCGGTACACATGTACGGAGTATACAGCACGTTCGTCGCGTTCGCGTCGCACCCCAGACGGTCGGTCGGTCTGGCACGCTGCTCTCCGAATGGAACACGCGTCATATTGCGTTCGCACACACATGTGGGATGGCAATTGAGAACCGACCATAGGCACACTCCCCGGCCCCGCAAGTCGGCTGACTTAATAGAAGAGGGAGATGAGCAATAGTACTAGAGAAGTGTTGTACTATGTTGGTGCCTGGACGATCCCTGCAAGACACGGAAGATCAGTTCGTCCATGCATGTGACCAGACTCCAGCAGACACGCCTGGATTGGCTATCGTCTACATATCGTGCAGGTTGTGTTGTACATGGATGTAGTTGTGGTGAGAAATCTAAAAAAAGGTTTCTTGTCATCTCACAAAATTATGTGTCATGTGCTTCGGATCACTGCGAGGGTTAAACAGCGACAACTGAGTTGGGCTAGTCATTGGGGGCACATGCACGAACAGTGACTACTCGGCTGCCATCTAGGTCAAGCCGGCTATGTTAATTAGGACATCTATCGACGGACCCCTTTTCTACGAGTTTATCTTTAATTTGAGCTTTGTTCCTCGTCTAGTTTGTCCGTCGGGATTCATGTTGTCTCCTTTGGGCAGTGAGGTTATCATTTCTTGTCATGTGGCATTTTTTCGTGTTATATGTTATAATCTGGCGCTTCAGATCAAAATGACGACAACTGCACCTCCGGGCCACGTGCATGAAGACTTCTCGACAGTCATTGACGAGGTCAAGCCGGCTCCGGTGGACAAAATAAAACTAAGTACTACTCCACAATATAGGCAGGAGCCTCCGCGCTTGATTGCTAGTGTTGCTCTCTTCACACTGTCTCGGCCTCTCCAGATCTAGATACGACAGCGGTGGCCACACTCTCTCTCTCTCTCTCTGCTCACCGCTGGTCACAGATCCAGCCGGATCCTCTCCGCCGGGGAAGGTGAGAAGGTGCAACATTCACGCGGCCGTCCTCGGTGACGGCTCTTACCCACTGCTGGGCGCGTACCGATCAGCCTGCCTTGTCGTTCTCTCCCACGCACCGCTAGCGAGGGAGGGCCTCCGACCCCTTCTTCCTCGCTGTCGTAGTGTGGGCAGATCCGGCCTCCCGCCGCCCACCTAGTGACATCCCGGCGACCATCAGGTATAGCTTCCTTCGAAACCGGCCTTGCTCTACTTCCCGAGCTCCTGACGTCGCTGCATTTCTAACTTTTACTATTTCTCAGGCCCCCTCATAGATAGGATCCATCGGGTGTTTGAAAACCACCTAATTTTTTTACGTTTAAGAGGTAAAACTAGTTCATGCACTCGAATCTAGTACTACTTGGTTCAAACAAGGAAGAAAGGGGGTGGGGTGGGGGAGGATTTGTTACCTGAATCTAGGACTTGGTCGAAAGAGGAAATAATAGGGGCGAAAAGTAGCAGAGACTGGCTATCCAACTGGTCTATAGGTCTAATAGGGAAATAAAGGGAAACGCGGTACAAACTCAATATAAACCCGATCTATTGGTTGAAAAAGGAAAGAAAGTGGGGACTAGGGGACAAGTCAACAGAGTAAGTCCACCACTAGATTTGCTAGCCTCACACAGTATAAGGTGGCTATACCGAACAAAAATGGGACCAACCCAGATATCCTGTTCTGATGTTTGTTGCCCCGAGCCACTCTTATGTAATGCCACTGGTAAAATGTAGCAGTCGCACTGTTAAAAGTAAGGACACGTTAAACCAATGTTGTTTTCAATGTAATGCCTCCAGTAATATGAATCAATGGCACTTCTTTACATGTCCTGCTAAAATTTCCCATTAAGATAAGTTGGTTCTTTTTGTTAGAAATGCAACTGTCCTGGTCCACCTACTCTCCCGTGCCCAAAGTAATGTCGTATTTAACGGTTGTCATAGTTAATCCTAATGCCCACACTAATATCTAGCAATGCCACTGCTTTAGAACTTGCTACTGTCCTTGTAGGATTGCCATTCAGATAAGGAACATGCTTCTTTTCATTTGATGCATGTTTCATCACTTGTTAGTCACCCTCCTTTCCACCTTTTTTGTGCAAACAGAGATATACATTTCACACTCGATCTTAGTTGAACTGCACAAATGATATCCAAATTATAGTTGAGCATTCCAGGAGCTTCACAACCAACCTTGATGTTGCTCAATTGTATTGCAACTAATGAAGAAGAAGCTTTGTGGGTTTCGTTTTCTGATGGAAATGGAACCGGGGCTAGAGCCCTTTTCTTAAAAAAATTGAAGAAGAAGTTGCTAGCTCATGGGACATTGCTTCATTTTAGGTGAACTGCACCAAAAGGTCCCATGAATTGAATCATCCATGTTGGTGACTGAAAGAGCCAGCTTCAGCATCCTAGTCTAAGCACCCCCAGCCTCCATCCTTGCGATGCACGGTACACCTCGTTTGCCACCTGCTCGACCCTAGTGTCACTGATAAAATGAAGTAATAATACAGTTAAAATAGAGCGAGTTTCATCTCTATCATTTCATTTCCAATGTAGATAAAGAAAGTGCTTCTCTTGGTTAAAGTATGTTTCATCAACTAGTCCCATTGTTAACGTTTAAGCATTTCTGCAAACTGGGGTGCTTAATTTTAGTTGATATGTACAAAAATAGAGATTTGAATGTCTCAAGGCGCCTCCTTGTACTACTGCTGTACACTGATGTTCATCACTGGCAGAAGGTGTATCTGGGAGACTTGGGACGATGTCCAGTATGAGGCGTACCGTATGAGGCATCGCAGGGCCCATCTCGTCCTCGCAGCATGGCATACTATGATACTATCACAATATTTTCTTCTATTTATTTTGTGTGTTTCATCAACTAGTGCCACTATAATGTAATCATGCTTTTTCATTATCTGTGCAAACAGGGTTATTCAGCTGCATTTTGGTGGAACTGCACAAATGTACGTATGGAACCAACATATATGTAGAGTGCGAGGTGTGCCAAGTAAAAATTACCGACACCAACCATGCTGCATGCACGCATTGGCATCCACCACAACCAGTGGGATGTGTGGCGCTCTCTGTGGACGGATCTTTCTCGGCAGCAAATCCTCTAACCAAATACTAGTAGCTTATATTGGCAGTTTTCTAGGGAGTACTCTTTTCTGAAAGAAGCACCAATCTATTTTTCTTTATTTGTACACTGTGTCACAACTTTGACCCAAAGGTCCAGAGCTATTTTAGGGTGATTGGCGTAGTACTCAGAGACTGATTGTAAGCATGATTTTCATTAGCTGTCACACTGATTGTAAGCATGAGCAGGTGGAAGATTAGGTTAGTGCGAAGCTTACCTTAAACCCTACCGCCGCTGTTGAAGCGAGGCGAGCGTCGA